AACCGGCTTAGGATCCCACACCCCGATTGTGCTCATGGCAGTTCCCTCCTTCTTAGCCCCAGTATCCCAAGATGGACCCTCAGGGCCATGCTTTGCCTCAGCCAGTGTGCACGGCAGATCACTAGTGCTCACACCTGCTAACGCAACACCCTCCACCTCCTTGGCCAAGCAAAGCATGCCCACACCTGCACCAGCATCCCCCCCTACCTCCTCACCACCCAAACCTGACCAGATACCAAGGAACTGCAAACCTGTCACAGGTGGTGGGAGGGAGTGGCTGGTGCTCCAGACGCACTAGCAAAGGGAAGAGGCGGGCTCAGACCAGAAGAGGAGGAGGTGGAGGCAGGTGTTGCGGCACCGCGTGGAGGAACAGAATCGAGTGGCTGCTGCATGTCGGCAGGCTGTGCCGACATACTCACCGGTGTCGACATATTCGTCGGTGCCGGCACACTCGGTGGTGCCAACACCTGCGGCTAGGTCGACGACGGAGGCATGTCTGCAGAATCTTCCTCTGCTCTAGGGCGCTCGAGGGGGAGTGGAAGGAGCTAAGAGATGGTAGCAGCATCTTGCCTCATTTCCCGAAAGGCTTTGGCCGCCTCCCAATCCTTCCACATCACATTCTCGAGAAAGTCGACATCTCGAACAATGATTATGCGCACGAAAGAAGGCCTCTATAGGAGTGATGAGGGCTGGTAATGCACTATGGGGTACTCGATTCTTGACCCACACCACCCACATCAAGGCATCACCCCACAGGCACGCCGGAAGTACGATGTCAATGAGCAAGGTGCAAATCCCCTCTGCCATTGTCCAGTGCCACTGCTCTACCACCCCATTACGTTGCGGCGAGTCTGCTACAGTTAGATGAGTTTAAATGCCAAACTCACTTTTCTATGCCTTCACAGCTTCCCCTAGAAATTCACCACCCTTGTCTGAGCGAATCACTTTCAGCTTTCGCCCTGAATCCTGCTCCACATCCGTGTGCCACGTGCGAAGGACCAGTGCCACCATGGCGGATTCCTTGTTGGGGATGTCGGCAGCGGCGGCAGCCGTGGCAACGTCGACTGCAGCAATGGTGGCGGCGACAACAGCAACACCAGCAGTGGCGAGGGGAGCGGTGATGACTGCGGTTGTGGTGTCGATGTCGACCGGGGCAATGTTGGCAGAACCACCCATTCCGGGTTTATAGAGCATAACTCCAAGCCCATATTTCTGAGTGATAATCTGCCCGCGGTTGTTGAATCCTCACTCCAAGGGCTTTCCTGCAAGGTCAGTTTCCGAGCTTAAGTTGTCCGAAGGTAGTCGACTTGTCGTTGGCGAGTCGACCTGTTCGATTGAAGTGAGATTTCTTGATGCTGCCTCCACTCTTCCCCCCAAATTTGGGCTTGTTGGATGTGTGCTTACGTCCTCTATTAGCGTCTGTGATTCACTACCTTCCTCCCGGTCGTGATCAGCGGCTATTCGCGTTCTCCCAGATTCTTCCGCTTTTCTGTCACCGATTAAATTTCTTGATTTTCTCCCAATCCGCTTATAAGATGGCGACGACCTCAAGGCAAATGTTGTAAATCGTGTTGAGCTGTTTCCAAGTATGTGCTGATTGTCTCCAATGCTTGTCGTCGACTGAACACCCTTGAGAGAAGATGTCGCTGTTCTCATCCTCTTAAGCGAATCAACACGTCATATAGCGTGTTTCTCCTTCCCTTCATTGGTTCTACATCCAAGGTCTGCCATGACGATCTATGGCACGATTTCGGCTGCCCTTCGGGAGCGGTGGAAGCTCTTTTACTTCCACCAAGGAATGAGACTCCGTTTTTCGGTAGGTCACTCTTCCGATGGGTCACTAGACTCCCCTCTGCTCTGATACCATGTTAAAGTGTCCTAAGAGACTAATGGATCATTAGAACCTTCTCCTAGAGTCTAGGATGCTTAGGAACCAAAACGGACATGACCCATTCTAAAGAGACGCATCCAGTACAAGAAGTGAGATCCAACCAAGTCACAACCAGACCTAAAGGTGCTGGGAGTTTCCCCTCTAGAAGCATTCCCAGCCCATCCAACGAAAGTACTCTACACTACCATAATTAAACTCTTTCCCGCCCACACAGGCCCCTAGACTCATTTGGAAGCACGCTGATCGATCATCCTTACCCCCTTGCTTTTGGCTAAAATCACGGACCGGCCCCGTTTAAATACTCTGAAAAAACAGAGTTACTTTTTTTGGGGGTTTTTTCAAACACTCTTGGCCCAAAAAAAAAAAAAAACGTTACAGCTGGGGACTACCTTGTGCAGGGAAATTTTGGTTAAACACCAACCTTTTGCTGTGTGTTTGCGCGTCAGTGTGACGACACCACACGCCAGGTCGTAGGAAAACTAGCACAATAGGGGATAGGTCGTGGCTGGTTTTCCCATGAGTTGGTTTTGTAGCTTACTTAGGGGATAGTTGGCAGAGGATGAGCAATATTTTGGGGGTAAGTTTTCCCTGTTTTGGGTTCTACGATAATGGATTCTTCCCGAGGAGAATGAAAAAAAAAAATCAGGATTCTGGAGGAAATGTTTATGAGAATATTTGTAGGTAGATCATAATATCGCACTTGAAGTACTGGGACTTCGACATCTTTATCAGGGTTACGGGGGATATTTGAGGGATATGACTAGTTACGCAAGACTTCGACAAATTTATCGGGGTTGCGTTGCGGGGGATGTGAGAGGGATGTGACTGGTTGCATAAGACTTCAACCAATTTATCAGAATTGCGGTGGTTTTGAAAGGGATGTGACTGGTTGCGGAAGACGTAGACAAATTCAGCGGGGTTGCGGGGCGGTATGAGAGGGATGTGGTTGCGGAAGACTTCGACAAAAAAATATAGTTTGTGGGAGGGAGTGAGGGGTGTCATTGAAGACGGAAACTGCGGGAGGGCATCTCGCTGTAGTACTAAGTTTCGGAGTCCCCCCCTATTGTTCCGTGGAGGCTGTCAACAAATATATTTACTATATATCTATATCTAGTCATGGTAGTCATGCTTGTTATATTTAGCCTAGCTAGATCAGCTCTTAGAGAGGACAACACACTACTTGTATCTCCCCTCTTTCTATTCAACATTTTTCCCTCGATAGTTTCATAGAGGCAACAGCTTGCACTCCAATAGAAACAATGAAAAAACAAGCTTCAACATTTCAAAAAATATTTTCAATCAACATCCACCTCTAAAAAAGGCCCAGCCAATCAGCACCACTTCATTTGAAAACCCTGGAAAAAGGCTGAATCAGCGTAAAAATTCTGGTATCTAGGGGCCTGCTTCCACACCTTTCCTAATTTTTTTACATTTTCGAAAGTGTTACACTTTCTAACATTACTTATTGTGAAAGCTCAGCAGCTTGTACGCAACACAAAAAGGCAGCGTCGAAGCGTTACTCGCCCTTCTCCAACTACAAAAAGGGGTCGTTCGGCCATTTGATCTCGTCCACGTTTTCATTTTTCAACATTTCGAGTTCAGTTTCCACCCCGTACCCCGTAAAGTGAACTCATGTATGTTTATATTGACGGGCAATGTTGTACTTGACCATAAGCAATGAAGACACTGCCATTGCTAGTAAAGAAGCAATGAAGACACTGCCATTTCTCAATACATATCCTGTTGGCGTATTTGCTATGCCCCTCCTCTACCAGGCATTGATTTCTCTGATTCTGTGTCGCACCGCACATGTATGTTGAGGGAATGACGAGCTTGTGCATCTATCGTTCTTACAATATCTCATGATTAAACCATCGAACTAAGTCCCATTGTCCACTTCTTCCTTTTCGACAAGGGAAGTCAAAAATAAGATAGAATACACTCATGGTTTATTTTTTTCTCTAGTGTGTTGGAGAAAGAGAGAAGTGAGTGAATAAAATATGAGATTTCGCTATATTGTTAGGAAATACCGTCAGTGCACGGATATAAGACACATGGGTTTTATCATATCAACCCTAGCCATTTTCAAAATGTCTTATAAATGGGTTTTAATCTTATAAACAAAACATGTGTATAAATCTAATGGAAAGATGTAAACTTGAGACCACATTGATTTGCTGGCGCTGTGCCCACCCCTCGTAACGATGGCCATTATATGGTGGCAACAACATCTGACAACTGAATGACTACGCTACCATGAGTTGGTAGTGTGGCTTCTCCATCTGTCGAAACCTGTGCTGTTGGCATGATCCCGGCCGTACATCCACATCTCTCTACATCAGCTTGTGGAAGTGTTGTCTTGCGATCAAAGCTTGGACAGCGCATCTTGCCACCCAAAAACAAAAACAGCTCAGTAGCATTTGTTGGAATTGAACTTGGAATCAACGGAGGCGAGGTCACTGTGGTGTGGCCTCTACACGTTCAGTTCCTCTACGAGCTTCGGCAGAGTCGAGGACAGGACCGTTGGCAAAACATCTGCGCCTCTCCCTTTGCCTCCAGGATGAAGCACCGACGCTATGTGCTCTATGCAAGCCATGCCATGGTGGAACTGGGCTGGCAGCTCGAAACCACTGTAGGTAGAGACCCCGCTAAGCGTGTACATGAACATATTCAGGAGAGTCAACTCCCCGGGAGACACATGGAACGGCACACAGCGCCATTCCCCTAGGATTCCTCATGCTCATATGCGATGTCCGCCCACCCCGTCGCAAATTCAGCCCGGTGATGGAGGGGACGAGTGGATCCATGCTGACGGCCAATCCGCCGGCCATGATGACTAGTGGGGGCCTTTTGGAGCAGGCGACGACATCGAGGAGTGGTATACGGACGCCAACGGGGACGCTGGCGGTGATGCGGACGGCGCGGCAGACGTTGACAGCACCGCTGACCACGGGGCGAATGCTGACGGCATCACGGCTGGCATGGCGGGCGATGAGGCGGATGACGGTGCGGGCGGTGCGACATGTTAGGATTAAGGACGGAGTCTAGGTGAACTTAGGAGCTAGAATTACTCAAAATATAAATCCGAAATTCTGGACAGAAAAGTCGTCTTCAAAAGAAACAACGTCGACAGAAAACTAGCCTTTGGAATGTCGCGAAACTTGGATATGTTGTAGCTCTTAATCTCAGCTACCGTTCCCAATTTGAATCACGTTGATTGATGAAGTATTCGCGACGCTATGGCTTTCGACGCACTGGGGGGTAAGCTGTAGGAGGAGAACTTAACTCAATCTCAAAAGTTCAATCAAAGTTCAAGAATCTCACAAGGAATTAGAGGAGCAAGAGAAAAGGTTGGGATGAAAGAGAGGGATGAGAGGGAATGTCCCAAGAGAGTCCCCAACCAAGGAAACCCCATAAGCACAAAGATTCCCTCCCTATAGGAACCCCAACTTTTACATTTGTCCCTTCCCAACCAATCCATCCAAGTTGGCCACCCTTGCCAACCTAGCTTGGTTGTTCCCAACCAATTTGCAGCTGTTACAGTAGATTGACAAATTTCCCCAACCCCAAAGGTCCCAACTCCATATAGAGTCACCCCACAACTTCACTTTGTAACCGCCGCAATTGTAACGCAAGCTCATGAACTTCGAATCTTCATAGCTTTCGCGTTCTTGCTCCGATTGAAGGGATTCTCGTTGCGTCGGAAAGATCTTCTCAAGATCTATCATCACAAATACCTGCTCAAACAAAAATAACACAAAACACATTCCCAAACTCCAGAACACACCACACAAATTCTTTCACACGTTCAAACCACACATGCAAGCTGAAAACATGGGATGGGAGGCAGACAGAATGTGATAGCATATGATGACATCACACAACACGACATGAGGCACGAAAGAGGACGATTCGGCGCATGTGGTGGGTACCTCGAGGTATAGGAAAGCCAACGACTCCAAGGGCAAAGTGGGCGACGCCATGTCAGATGAGGATGTCCCATTTGAAAAACTTCGCATGAAATGGGCTTGCTCGAAGTCGTAGCGGCACCGTGTTTTACTCAGCGATGACGAGGTCAAGCTGCCACCAAGAGGACGGAGCAAGCGCCTATAGACGCCAATGCATGCGGATGCTAAGAGCAAGCGACATCGCTTCTCATGCGAGTGACAAGGCGAGCAGAAGGCTGCCGAAAGCCGATCGTCCGCCCCTCAAGACCCAACACCCAAGGTGAAGGATCGAATGGCCAAGGAGTATGCAAAGGTGGCTGGCCCAATTCCGACCTTCCGCGAGGGCAGGAAGCTGAAGGATCCAATGGCCAAGAATGTTGTCATGTACCCCCCTGTCTCCGTGATCTCGCGCATAGCAGAATTGCCGCCGCAACTGGACCATGAAAGAGCAAGAGCGGTGGGCGAAGCGCTACAAGGAGCTTGGCTCCTTGAAAAGAACAGGCATAGGGGTGGGAGTTGGACCGAGCTCGATCCGGCGGTGGGTGTAACAAATGGAGAAGGGGAAATACATGGGTGCCACCAAGCGCCGCCAATGGCTTTACGGTGCGAGACGGCACACGCACCACCCCACGATGGAAGAGAAGTTGTGCAAGCACATCTGCGAGCAGCGCGCGCGCGGTCTCGCAGTCAACGTCAAGTACATCCGCCGTTGGGCCAGGCAGTATATGTCGAGGAAGAACCCGGGCACCAAAATCTGCGCATCTTCGTAGTGGAGTCAGCGGTTCATGAAGCGGTGGGGGTTGGTGATGTGCTGTCTGACGAAAGTCGGTCAGAAACTGGAAGAGGGTGAGTCGGCCAACATCGCATGCTCTAACTCCCTCTTACTACCTTGCATAATGCATTCCCATTGCCCCCCTACATGCAGAGGTCGCCCGTTCCCAACCCAAGCATGTGGGGTAGTCTGTCTGTTACTATATAGATTTTTCATCTCAATGTTTTTAACGAACGTCGATGATGCTCAGATGATCTGATATGCCGTGTCACTAATCAACAATGGATTGGTGGCAGCACGTGGTACAGTCGGGCGAGCAGCTGGATACGATGCCATGCATGATCGGGCGACCCCGCAAGACCAATCACTGGTCATGAATTTATTGCGATGCAGACGAGTACAGCACATGGCTATGGTGGTGTGCGGGAATTCATCACCGGTTTGAATGCGTCAGTGCTAGCAGCCAAGCACGCTACTGCCTTAGCACTTGGCGCCTATTTGGATCGGGCCAAGCTGCTATACCCGCAGCTTCCAGGGGAAAATGCGATCAAATCGGCTGCATGCACCAAGAAGAAATATTTGGCAGATTAATCGGCGGACTTCGTCCCGAGTTACGACACGGAATTCAAGTTCATGAAACTACATATATACTCAAGGCACAGTGGGTTGCAAAGCGGCTGGATTTGTTCTTCAAACCAAGGGCGGGTTCCTATGACAAAAAATTGCACTTGGGGACTGATTCAGTGTGCCATTGTATACGCTGTTACTTTATCGAATGCAACAGTTATAACCTTCAAGAGATGTTGCTTCGGGTGTAACAGACAGGGACACTGCAAATCTGAGTGCCCAGAGGAGCAGAAGAAGCAGAATCAATGGTCGGGCAGTTCCAGTGATCAGGGAAACGGTTATTGTCAGTAGGTTCAGCTAAATCATGATTGGTTGCGACATCTCAACCCGAAGATCAATTGGACGACCATCGGATGGAATTGGAACCAAGAACCCAGCACACTGTGCAGGGATAAATTAGGTTAACGCAACCAGCATTAGAGTTACGGAAGCAGTTGGGAAAAAAAAATCCGCCCCAACTCATCACCATTTGCCGCCCTGATACTATTCACACTGAAGAAGGACGGGGGGTATCGAGTGTGTACTTACTACATGGCAGTGAACTGAGCCATAATTAAGTATCATTAACCCATACCTTGAGCCAATGAACTCATCAATCAGCTTCACATGTCACAAAAGCTAGGTAGCTAGGAAGGGTAGGCGGCCATGGAATGGCGTGAGGGTTTAGCTAGAAGGAAGTTGATGAGAGAAAGGAGAGCGAGAATAGAAGAGAGAGGGATACAAGGAGGGGTGTTGTACCCTCTACAGTAGGTTTCAGTAATGCCTACCAAGCCTACAATTACATAACTTAAATATGATTTAACACACCCCCTAGGCTTGGTAGTATAAGAACCCACACACACCCACACCCCCTAACCTAGCACCCCCATTCCCAGCAGCAGCCACGACTTCTCCGGCATGGCCAATCCTCGGGGCCCGTGAGATGGCAACGGCAGCAGTGGCAGTACTGACGATAGCGGTGGCAGCGCCGGCAGCGTGCGGCGGCAACAGGCCAGCGGCAACAGCAGCAGCGGCAGCGGCTTTGACGTCAGAGGCGAATGCAGCAGCCCCCGCCCTCTCGGCGGCATGGCCAAACTCCGCGACGATGGGGAAGACCCTCACGAGCCAGGCGTCAGCTGTGGCGAGGAGGAGGGGATGCACGGGAAAAAGGGGGAGGGGGGGGGGGGGTTGGGGGGGGGGGGGGAGGGGGGGGAGGCATGGTCCAGCATCACGCCCGTGGCTGGCGTGCGGGCGTCAGGACCGGCGGCGCCTAAAACGGGGCACTGGCCGCTGCCGACCGTGCCGTACATGCGCTGGCAGCACGCCGCCACGGCTCGACGTCGACGGTGCCGTCACGCCGCCACGGCGTGACGTCGACGCCACGACAGCGCGACGCCACGGCAGTGCGACGAAACGGCCGCAGCAGCACGACAACGCCGCCACAGCAGCACGACACAGGCGCCATGGCAGCGCGAGAGGGAGAGTAGGAGTGCGCGGCGGAAGAGTGAGGAGGAGGCCCGGAAAGGACAACCTGCTCTGATACCATGTCACAAAAGCTAGGTAGCTAGGAAGGGTAGGCGGCCATGGAATGGCGTGAGGGTTTGGCTAGAAGGAAGTTGACGAGAGAAAAGAGAGCGAGAATAGAAGAGAGGGATACAAGGAGGGATGTTGTGCCCTCTACAGTAGGTTTCAGTAACGCCTACTAAGCCTACAATTATATAACTTATATATAATTTAACATCACATAGCTTGATTCTTCCCGAAGATAGATTTGCAAGACGGTGACCATCACATCCGAGTCGTTTCGGAGGACTGTAACAAGACTGTACTTCGTATCTCGTACGATAGCTATGGGTATGTAGTTTTGCCATTTGGTCTTACGAACGCTGTCGTTACTTTCCAAATGACCATGAACAAGATGCTCAGCCCGCTCGTGGATAAGTGTCTTATAGTTTATTGAGATGACAATCTCATCGACAGCCTAACCTGGGAGTATCATTTGAAAGATCTCAAGGAAGGTTTTGCTTTACTGCAGGAGCATCGCTTACTTACGAAAGGTTACAAGTGTGATTTTTTAAAACACAGGATCAAGTTTTTAGGGCACACCATTTCGGATGCGTAAGATCTTTTCCGGCTACCGCCCACGAGCTTAGTTGAGCTCCAGCGTTTGTTAGGATTAAGGACGGAGTCTAGGTGAACTTAGGAGCTAGAATTACTCAAAATATAAATCAGAAATTCTAGACAGAAAAGTCGTCTTCACAAGAAACGACGTCGACAAAAAACTAGCTGTTGGAATGTCGCGAACATCGGATATGTTGTAGCTTGTAATCTTAGCTACCGTTCTCAATTTGAATCACGTCGATTGATGGAGTATTCGCGACGCTATGTCTTTCGACGCACTGGGGGGTAAGCTGTAGGAGGAGAACTTAACTCAATCTCAAAAGTTCAATCAAAGTTCAAGAATCTCACAAGGAATTAGAGGAGCAAGAGAAAGGTTGGGATGGGAAGAGAGGGACGAGAGGGAAGGTCCCAAGAGAGTCCCAAACCAAGGAAACCCCATAAGCACAAAGATTCCCTCCCTATAGGAACCCCAACTTTGACATTTGTCCCTTTCCAACCAATCCATCCAAGTTGGCCACCCTTGCCAACCTAGCTTGGTTGTTCCCAACCAATTTGCAGCTGTTACATTAGAGTGACAAATTTCCCCAACTCTTAAGGTCCCAACTCCATAAAGAGTCACCCCACAACTTCACTTTGTAACCGCCGCACTTGTAACGCAAGCTCATGAACTTTGAATCTTCATAGCTTTCGCGTTCTTGCTCCGATTGAAGCGATTCTCGTTGCGTCGGAAAGATCTTCTCAAGATCTATCATCACAAATACCTGCTCAGACAGAATAACACAAAACACATTTCCAAACTCCAGAACACACAACACATAAATGCTTGCACATTCAAACCACACATACACGTTGAAAACATGGGATGGGAGGCAGACAGAATGTGATAGCATATGAGGATATCACACAACAATCTCCCCCTCTGGCTGCCAACCATCATCCACCATACCACATCTCAAGCATGCATACTCAATGCACACTCATCCCAGCAAGCTTCATGCCCTTCCAATGATCCGCCTCCGCCAGACGCTTAGTGAAAATATCTGCTGCCTGCTGATGGGTCTTCACTATCTCCAGCCGCACCTCCTTATTAAGGAGTCTCCTCACCAAATGCCACTTAGGCCTTATGTGTTTTCTCAGCCCATGGAGACAAGCATTCTTGGCGAGCTTCACAGCAGACTCATTGTCATAAAACACAACTGTCGGCTCCTCCTGACCAACTCCCAACTTCTCCAACAAACGCCTCAGCCACACTGCTTCCTTGACCCCATGGTGTAAGGCCATGTACTCAGTCTCACATGAAGACAATCCCACCTCATTCTGCTTCTTGCTGCGCCAGCTCACAGCACTACCTCCTAGCAAGCACACATAACCCCCAATGCTGGTGCCATCCGCTTTCACTAACTTGAAGCTAGCATTAGTACCTTGGGTTGAGGAATTGCAACCCAATAGCACACTGCAATCTCATCTTCCTGAATCTGCTCAACCACACTCCCAGCCTGCACCACATTCGGCTTGCCTCTTCCCCATAGGTCAGCCTCATCGGAGGGCGCACATCCCTCCTAGGTCGCTCAGGCGGGTGTGGAACTCGAGGTGGAGACTCATGCTGCTGCTGCTGCTCCACTTCAGCTGCTCCCCCTTCCTCAGTCACCCCAGACATCTCCTCCTCAGACACTGCAACCTCCACCTGTCTTGAAGGCCGCTGCACCTCATCTGCCTCCACAATGAGCGGTGTAGATGGAAGCTTCTGTTGCTGCTGCTTCCATTCCTTGTAGTACAGGGACTCAAGAAACTTCACATCCCTTGCCACTGTCAGCTTCTGGGTGGTCAAGTCCCATAGCAGCCACCCCTTGTGATCCTTTGCAATCCCCAAGTGCACACCCCATCTTCCAGAAGCCTCCAACTTCCCTCTTTTCTCCTTGGGCACATGAAACACCACCATGCACCCAAATGCCCTCAGCATGTTCACAGCTGGAGCACTCCCATACCATTTGACATATGGGATCCACTCCTTATCCCCAACTGTAGCCAGCACCCTGTTCTTCACAAGGGCGACCTGCCTCACTGCAGACACCCAAAACGGATCAGGCAGCCCTGCACGCCTAAGGAGAGTGCGTGCCCCCTCCTGCAGGGTCCTGTTGAACCTCTCAGCCACGCCATTCTGCTGCGGGTTGTAAGGCACCGTCAGTTGATGTTGGATCCCCTTCCTCTTCATCTCCCCCTCAAAATCAGCTCCAATGAACTCCCCACCATTGTCACTGCGGATCACCATTACCTTGTGTCCGCATTCCCTCTGAGCTCTAGGCATCCACTCCTTAAGGACAGCCGCTGCCACCTCCCCCTTGCTCTTCAAAGGGTAAACCCATACTGCCCGAGTGTGGTCATCCACAATTGTCAAGAAATAGTGGCTGCCTGAGAGGGAAGGGGCTCTTGTGGGCCCCACCACATCCATGTGCACAAGTGCAAGTGGGGTCTTGGCTGGTCCTGTAGTGCTATTGAAGGGGAACATGGAGAACTTGGTCTCCAAGCATGTAGGGCAGCTCCCAATCTCCTTCACTCCCCCCTTGACCTCTAATCCTTTCAGGCTCCCATTCTTCACCAACTTCTACAGCATGGGGAAGTTCACATGACACAGCCTCTCATGCCATGTCTCCCAATCGGCCTCACCACTCCTAGATGAAGCCTTGGCCCATGCCGCGCTCGCATCCACACCAGCAAGCACCTCACCATGTGTCTGCTGCTGCTGCACTTTCTTGACTGCTTCCAGGACCCCATCAGTTGGTGCAGTTGCATCTCCTCCTGCTGCTGCCTTTGCCGCTGCTGCCGTTGCTGCTATTGGAGTCTTCCCATTCCAAGGGATGATGGGCAGCTGCCACAAGTCCTTGATGCAGCTAGTCTCCTCTTCCAGACTCCACAGCACCTTCTTCCCAAGCTTAGCACGGCAGCTGGTTGGTCCAAAGGTCACTTCGGGCTTACTCTTCTGCAGCCGCCGCACAGAGAGCAGGTTAGCAGACATTCCTTCAACTAGCAGGACATTCCCAAGCCCCACAAGTTCCCCATTAGCTCCCTTAACCTTGGCATTCCCAACACCAATGACAGGGAGCAAAGCACCTGACGCTGCTGCCACATACTTAATCTTCCCAGGGGGTTTTACCTCATCAAGCAAATCTGCCCGTGGGGTCATGTGACTGGTGCAACCTGAATCAATCACCCTGTGCGTGAGAGGGTGCATCACAACCTTTCCCACAGATCCCACATCACCCTCATGCCCATGCACATCTTCAACCATGAGAAGCATCCCAGGATAGGCATTACCTTGTGCACCTTCACCTTGTGCACCTGAGCCTTGCACAGCGCCACCTTGTGCGCGTTCACCACTTGGGGGCTTCATGCCTGGAGGTGCCCATCCCTCCGGCCTGCTGAAGCACTTGAACCAAGGATGCCCGACCTTCTTGCAGTACCAGCAGGTGCCCTCCATTCTGGTACTCCCCCTGCCACTAGAGCTCCCATGCCCCTCATTATAGTCACCTCGGCCTCTACCTCTGCCAAAGCTCCTCCCACGGCCTCGGCCTTTCCAACCCCCTCTTCCTCTGCCGCGCCCTGCAGCTCCATACCCCTCAGCAGTCTTAGTGGAAGCACCACCTCCCACATGGCGTCTGCGGAAGTCCTCCTGCAGAATCTGCTGCCTTAGCCACTCAGGTGTCCATTGATCTTGCTGAGAGTTGAGGGTGGGGATGAGGTTGTCCCAAGAGTTGTCCAACACCGAGATGATCTTGGTGCTCTGCTACAGCTGAGATACACTGCTGCCCGCTGCTGCCATCCTTGCATGGGTGTCCTTGATCTTGTCAAGGACCGGCTTCACATCGTCCCCTGGTCGCATGGAGATGGCAGCAAGTTCCTTCTCGAGCACGATCACCATCGGGAGAGTGTTGGGCTGAATCGCATCGCGTATTAGTTTCCACGCCCTTGGACCCGAATCATCCGCTTCCACAAGATGCTTGATGTGCTCGAACATCTCCTTGTTGACCGATTGAAGGATGAGGTCGAAAAGCACCGCGCTTTTCTCAATCCACCGTTCACGTGCTTCGCCTTCTTCCGGCATCTTCTCCTCCCCAACAGCAATCTTCAGTAGCTTGTAGCGTTTGAAGGCAGTCCTCATCCAACCGCTCCATTCCTCATAGTTGGAGCCATCCAAAGCTTCAACTTTTGATGGCGGCGGCTCACTTGTCTTCTCAGGTACAGCTCCTCTTCCATTAGCATCTCCTCCTCTCTCATTCATCTTCTCCTTGAGAAATGACGAATTTCAGCTCCCCTTTGCTGTCCACACTCAGCTCCCTCGATATTTTCACAAGTGTCGGCGTCCACGAAATTTAGCGGAAGACATATCCAACCTTTAGAACACCACTTAGGCACACCCACAGGCCATGGTGGGTCTAGAAGGGTCTTCAAACTTCTGTAGACTCCTCTTAATGTCCTTAATATCGCTCTGATACCACTTGTTAGGATTAAGGACGGAGTCTAGGTAAACTTAGGAGCTAGAATTACTCAAAATATAAATCCGAAATTCTGGACAGAAAAGTCGTCTTCACAAGAAACGACGTCGATGAAAAAACTAGCCGTTGGAATGTCGCGAAACTTGGATATGTTGTAGCTCTTAATCTCAGCTACCGTTCCCAATTTGAATCACGTTGATTGATGAAGTATCCGCGACGCTATGGCTTTCGACGCACTGGGGGGTAAGCTGTAGGATGAGAACTTAACTCAATCTCAAAAGTTCAATCAAAGTTCAAGAATCTCACAAGGAATTAGAGGAGCAAGAGAAAAGGTTGGGATAGAAAGAGAGGGACGAGAGGGAAGGTCCCAAGAGAGTCCCCAACCAAGGAAACCCCATAAGCACAAAGATTCCCCCCCTACAGGAACCCTAACTTTGACATTTGTCCCTTCCCAACCAATCCATCCAAGTTGGCCACCCTTGCCAACCTAGCTTGGTTGTTCCCAACCATTTTGCAGCTATTACAGTAGAGTGACAAATTTCCCCAACCCCAAAGGTCCCAACTCCATATAGAGTCACCCCACAACTTCACTTTGTAACCGCCGCACTTGTAACGCAAGCTCATGAACTTTGAATCTTCATAGCTTTCGCGTTCTTGCTCCGATTGAAGCGATTCTTGTTGCGTCGGAAAGATCTTCTCAATATCTATCATCACAAATACCTGCTCAGACAGAATAACACAAAACACATTCCCAAACTCCAGAACACACAACACATAAATGCTTGCACATTCAAACCACACATACACGTTGAAAACATGGGATGGGAGGCAGACAGAATGTGATAGCAAATGATGATATCACACAACAGAGTTTTCTACGGCTTGTCAACTACTTCCGTAGATCTATCCCAATTATGATGAGGGCAACTGCACCACTAATCGATTTACCGCGGAAGGAGACCAAGCACTAGTGGGGGGAGAAAGAGCAAGCTGCCTTTTCCTCACTCATGTCTTTTTTGTACTCGCCCCAGTTCTTCGCATTGCCAATCGGCAGCGTCCATTGGAAGGGGTCACAAACGCGAGCAACATCGCCATTGGAGCAATACTACTATATGATATTGACAAAGACTTATTACCAATCCCGTACGAATAATGGAAATTACACCGCGTGAGCGAAATTATCCGATACACGACAACAAAATGCTTGGCAGCGTGCACGCTTTCAAGGTATGGCATTGCTATATGACGAGAGCAGACGTGATAGTACAAACAGATCACTGTAGCCTACTTTATATATGCGCTCAACCACTCCTCAACCCACAATAGATTCACTAGTTAGATTATATAGAATCCAACTTCCACCATATAGTTTAACCCGCACCCAACATCTAGTATTATCGAACCCCTTTCACACCCATCTGCCCATCTCAACTACATCATCCTTTCCCAAACCTCCCCACTATAAACATGCCTATTTATCCAGAGGTACCAGACTGACAGGTTTTTTACGTCAGGCACATATGAGTAGCTGAATATAGCTAAAGGAGTTTATTACGTAAAGACAACTACTGAGCATATTTGGTTACCGGAGTATACTTTATCATATGAGTTATTACTGCCCTGAGCACATGACTGTACAGCTTCTAGGCACTTAGGAGTGGAAAAAAAATGACAGGATCGAAACACATGCATCACCAACAATTTATGGTGGCACATGTGGGAACAATTTGGGACATTGTTACAATCTTCATTGGCGTATCGCCCAAAGACTAACGGCCAAACAGAGCGAGCCAATCGGACAATAGAGGCAGCTGATTTGTGCTTTGTGATGACATGGTAGACTGGGAACATCAACTGCCACTGATAGAATTTGCGTACAACAATTTGTAGAAGTATTATAGCATGCCCGCGAGCGAGTAGCCAAAGCCACTGAACGCGTGAATATTATATCTTAACTAAATGCAACATAGATCTTCACCGCTGAGCCGTAACCTACCAAGCAGGGGACTTGGTATTGCTAGATACACAAAACCTTTGACTTCCCATACTTCCAAAACTTCACCTCCTCTAGTATAAATCACTCACTATCAGTCACATGTTTAGTTTTGTTACAACCCACCTACTATTAACTGCCACCTGGAATGCATATCCATCGTTTCACGTGCGATTCTTGTGACCATACGTCACCAACACAGATCGACTACCATGTCACCGAGCCAACCCTAACATCCGGCCGCTTGCTGAACCAACAAACGAACATGCGAAGCTTCTTAGCCATCAGATTTGAGACCCCAGCGGTGCTCGCCTAATCGAGTTTCTCACATTTTGGAAGGGCCGAACAAAAGGGTGCCCCTGGCACAAAGCGAGAATCACACAGTATAACGCCTCTACTTTCAGTCCCGCCATGTACGCGACGTCGGCGATCTTAAATAAGACCATACATAGGAGGGGAGAGAGTGGAAGAAGATAAGTTATTCTTATCCTAGGTTTTAGCCAATACCATGTGCACTGCCATAATGGGATTGCCGCGCAACTCTGCCATGAAAATCAGGTCGCGTCACTCAAATGAGGCCCTCTGACGAGTCGCATGCATTTCGTTCGCTTTATAGTTTTATGAATGAACATGCACGCCTTGCCCCAATTTGCAGCCACCCATCCCATCTCTGCCGAGCCTCGACCGTACGCTCCAAGCCTAACTATATTCGAGCACTCGATTGTTTTGACGTTACCTCATTGTATTATTTTCCTCATTACTACCGATATTTGATACTTGTTGTTTGCGCTTCATTAAAGTAGGAGAAGACAAGTGAAACTCACACAGATCCATATGGGCTGTTGTTGTCATGTATACAGTACATTTCCTTCTCACTACAGTCCGATTTAAAAACCACGCAGCTCGAATTGTACGCGTTTTTCCGGTTACCCCGGGCAAAACAAATTGAAGCAGAGAATTTGTACAGTAGCCCGAGTCTTCAGCCTATATGGCATACAGTCGATGCCCACCCATTCCCTTTGCGCAACACATCAAATCCACTTCTCGAAACCCCTATTCTATGGTAGCGGGCGTTTCATTTCAGGCCCCACGGTGTGCCATTTGAAGCAGGTTCTTTGATCGTAGAACAAAACCACCACTGGTTAATGGAGCGCAGAACGAAACGACCACATTAATGTGCCCAAAGAAATTTGTTTATTGACCAGACCTATATTATCGAAAATATATTGTTACAAATTGCACCTTTATATCCCATTTACCAGTGGCTAAGCATGCGAAATGACGAACTCAAAATCGCCCCCCCAATTTGGGAAGTTTGTGGGCTTCCGGTAGACATCGATTGTAGTGTTTTTCTTGCAAAATACAAATTGCCAGCACAACACGCATCTTATCATCAAGATTTCCCGAATTGCAAGAAAGGTCACAAGGTGTAACAGTCACCATTGACTATAAGCCCTGTCCATTGTGGCAGAGGAATCCCGCAGTATGGGCCTTCTTTTGTAGGCAGAGTGCATTAGTGATCCGCCGGAATCGAAACTTCGATGATAAGCAAAAACAGCTCATCTAGGCTCGGTGATAAGCTGAAGAGGCTCGGCAAAAAATCAAACCTTTTTGCAGAACTTGTACACCCTCATGCCTGCAAAACGCCACACTCAGCGGGTGCAATTCTGCATTCGGACGCTTCGTTACAGCACCCCACCCAGGTGAAAGGCCCCACAATTTGCACATGGGCCCATGCAGCCTCTCGAGGCCATTTTAGCCCCACACAAGTTGTGTGGAGCAGCAAAACTCCGCCCACGAAAATAGCTAAGGCTACGCATCCAAAACCCAATGCTTACGCAAGAAACGAAAATGCATGATGGTGGAGGATTTTTCAAGAATCGTTTTGGCAAACTGGTTGATTTGCATACTTGGGCAATAGGGAAATGTTCGGTTTGCCCAGGCCAAAACCTCACTACCCTTCCCCCTACACCTTCACTTGTACACCAGAGATTTTTGTAGCCTCGGCGGGTCTGGAAGGTGTGGCTGCAGTTGTCATCTGTACAACTAGTGCGAGGCCCCATATGCTTGCAGAACAAGGCCATGGAGTGAAGTTGCTTGGTGGAGGGAAATGGCGTGGACTTTTTGCAAGAAGAGGTGTTGCAGTACACTGATACCACGAATCTACCACGCGATGCCTGGTCCAAAATCGACTCTAACATGAAAAACAGTTCGGAATGCAACCAAGGCATGTTTTCGAGTTAGGGTGTTTGCAAAACCAGTGGCAAATCCACGTGGGTAGATCATCTCATGTCACGCTGAAGTTGTTTAACAAGCTATTTGTGAAATGAAACGCACCACAACTACACAATTGCAACTGGACACGGTCTCTTCAATGGTCCGAGTACAATCTTTTGGTAAATTTTTGGATTAGCACAATTCGAGGCAAGATTCGATACAGATTCCCCCATATCGCGCTTTGAGTGCTCTTGTAAACATGGCCACATAAGCAGGGAATGTTGACAAGTTCTATTGTATATTCCTGAATTTCGTAATTTATGAATTAATCAGAGTAATAACAGGTAGTGTAATAATGGAACCGTGATTCAAGATTGTCGATACAAATGAGGGCCTAGGCAGTTATAGGCATGAACAGGGCTAGCCGAGAACCACGCG